CTACCTAAAGATAAAATGTTTAGTTGGGTTAAAATCGTTGGTTTTTGCACAGGGAAGACTAGCATACAGACAAACACAATAAAACTTTTGCTTATAATATTCCAAGAAAGACTATCGCCAATTATAGCTGCTTCATTGAGATTGACAAGCACACAGAGTGCTAGTTTCACGTGGGTCGCCCACAGAAACTCTTCAAAGTGCTCGGCGCAAACCATGCCCCAATATTCACGAAGCTTCACTGTTGTTTTTCGTTAAGATTTCGTTAAGATTACGAGTATTAAAATTATTTCGCTGAGAATATGCACAGTACGCGAATAGTTCAGCTTAGTCAACAGCTCACGTGAGCCCCTGTGATAAAGCTAGGAAGTTCAACGACTGATATGTAAAAGACGAGGCTTTCTACCGATGAATAGATTACCGATGACCGAAGAAAATGCTGTTCCTATCAGTGTGCAGTGAGCGTTGCTTCACCCTAAATTCTCACTTTCATATCTAGACACCTAAACAAAGAGTTCAATCAGGAACACCACTGTTACTTTTCTTGTAGTTACGATCACGAGAACAATATAGAAATGATGTTTTGCACGTAAGCTGGTGCATTAGGTTAAGAATTATTCAGTGAAGTTTTACATTGTAATGAATATGTTCTCCATTAGGCTATATGTTTGTCGATGCAAAGGTGCTCTCACACCGCCTTTGCACAATTGCTGGCGGGCTTTAAGGTACTTTATATGAAAATGGAGATCTTACGTTCTTATAATGAAATACAACGTGTTAGATTGCTCGTTGTGCAATGCATCTTGTACTATCTATTATAGACCCACATTAAAGCCTCGAAACTATGCAACAACTTGGTGTTTCAGAGGTTGACACGACGGCAATACAAACGTGACTAATCGCTATTATGAACCGAATAAAGTCCTGAATCTGCTTTTTTTAAACCAATTACATCGGCAGATGCGGCCTCGTATTACATGAGCATGCCACTGAGGATAACGCCGTGGTCACTGCCCCAGCGGCGCGCTCAAGTCTGCTCTCAAACCCTCACCAAAAAGCCCTCAATGTTGCTTAAATGCAAGACTGCATACCTGAAGCTGCAGGCGGTTAAACCACGTCTATTACACTTCGGTCGTTCAACTTTCCAGATTTATATTTGGTGCTTGCATAACTTGTATACTAAACTTGACTCTTCGCGTACTGCGCGTAACCTTAACAGAATGATCTCAAATAATGGCGAAACTTCCTGAACATTGTGGCATAGTTTGTGCCGAGTGTCACGTACCGTTTTTGTGGGTGGGACCCGAATACATCAAAATGAGATCATAAACGCGTATGGCAATACTGATCTTTACAAGACGTGAAACTGGCGCTCTGTTTGCGTGTTTGTTACTGTCCACATTGCAGCTATCTGCGCAAAAGCTCAGCGCGAAGATTTTCCAGTACCGCTTTTTCAGTTCGATGCTATGTTATGATCTATGACCCTTCTCTTTGTCCCAAATTTAAGTGGGTTAATCTGTATTTTGTACTAATTCTAAAGAAACAGTAGCCTCATTATTAGAAGATTGGTAGGATGCAGTGAGTGTGTCGGCGTTGTAAAAAGTTGCCCTTTTATGTCTATATTTTGGTGTTTTGTCTTTTTGTCTTGGTTTTTTTTCATTTCTATGTCTTTGTGTCTATTACGTTCTATATCTTTCCGGTTCGCTCTTTTTGTTTTTTTTCTGTTTTTACATCTTCATTTTCTTTAATTCCATTGATCTTTCTCTTTCTTTATATTCTTTCTTTCTTTAACTCGTTCTTTTTTATCTCTCTATCCCTTTTTTTCTCTATCTTTTTGACCTGTTCTTTTGCGTTTCGCACTTGCACCTGCTGCATGTTGTAGTGAGACAACCTTATTCCTGTAGTGCATACCCCCCTGAGGAGCTTTGCATGAAGAAGCACAAGTTACCAACAGCGCGTACCGGTAAACCATGATCATAGTTTATTACGAAAGAACACAAATTAGTGGCAGCCTCGACAGCTTCACTGTTCGAATGATCACTTCTAGTCCTGGAGTGTGCTTCTGCAGCATTCATCTTTCAAAACATGCCACAAAAATGAGAGCCATAATGTAAATGGTGATGGTTTACAAGTCAAGCCTTCTAAATGTCGCGTCATCCTCGAAAATTTAAACTCGTGATTTTTTTTCCTCACATAAGTCTTGCTTTGTGTGTATTCACTGAAATGCAGATAAATTTATTGTTACACGTATAACAAATCGAAGTGGCTGTTCGGATGTTATTAGTATTAAAGTTCACCTAGCCAGATAGATATCTGAAGAAGATATTCACCTTTAGATTCAAAATTGGCCTGCCAAAGCCTCATTGGGCTTGGAGGGCTGAGCCGACAGACAGCAGACCACAACGCTTGTTATATCTGAGGTCACTTAGATGCATACACTTTTTTAAGCGTATGTATACAAAACAAACACGTGCTTATATGGCAGTGCTAGAGAAAATAAAACTGATACTAATACAAGTAGCATGACCTAGCGTGCAATTCTATCATGCAATAGCAACAATACAATAATGGGATATCATCAGATTTTGGATGATGCTAAGAAGAAAAAATTGAAAAAACGAGAAAACGAGAAAGAACATCACAAGGCATTATACCATTGTTTTAGCACATGCCGAATAAAAAGGACAGTGAAAAAAAAACATGAATTATACTTCCTTTAGTACACCAAGTGCAACACATAGCCTCATGCAACAAGGCAACATTTGATGAATTTTCTGGAGAAAAACAACAGGTATTGCGAAAGAGTTACAGAATAATGCCGCAAAAAAGTTGCTACAATTTGAATTTTAATTTAACACAAAAACACTCGCGGGTAGTTTAATAAATAAAGATGGTATGAAGTACCTACGAGTGCACTGACCACATCTAGTGGAGCAGTGAATCACCCGAAAATTAATTTTAGGTCGAAGGCGGCGTGTAACTACATACAGAACATTATATTCGTTTAACCAAAAACGTTTTAGGACAGCCGTTTCAGTGAGGAGGGCATGAAAGTTACAGCATCGTAGGGATTCAAAAAGGTCTGCGCTTGAGGGAAGTTGTAAATCATAGCTAATCACTTTCAATATAGAAGGAAGGGTGGAGTTGACTCTATTTTTCCAATGAATCACACAGTGACCGAACGACGTAATACCGCAGCGAAGAACACTATAACTAAACGCTTTTAGTATAACTGCGAACTGTTAGTGGAGTAGAGTATTCAATAGGGCATAACGTTCGAGAGACTGTCCGAAGCCTTGAGCAAACGTAAGCCAGGTGAGAATCGCAGGAGAAGTCACTGTTTATAGTTAAGTATACCATGGTATTCCACAAATTAAACACAAGGAACACGTGCGCAAGAGAACAATATGAACAGTGAGCTACCAACGAGACGCCTATAGATTGACTTTCCTCAAGGGTTATGAAAACACATGAGCTGTGTTTTACAGACATTTACATTGAAACACTAACTTTTGGCTTTTATTACTGATAAGTCTGACGGAACTAAGTGGTAACTTGTCTCACGCTTGTAATGTAGCGGCACAAGATTCGGTGCATTTTCAGCAGGTGCTTGCTGTTAACAAGACTGCTTGTGAACCTTTGGAGGAATCTCACATCTGTCCAGGGAGTAGAACGATGTTGTAGACATGCCAAACTGTTACCTGTTTCAGAGAACTGAAAGACAACCAGAAGAGGCAACAAGCAGCCGCTATTATCATCCCTCTGAATAGTGAATGTTGTTTTCTGCCCTTAAAGATTTCCTTCGTGGCGGCACAATATTTTAGATTAGTTCAGCGCCGCCATCGCGAAAACGTATATTAAACGTGGATTGCGCTCATCCCTGGCAGACCATGCCGATGTTTAGGCGTGGGATAGTGGTGCGTGCTGAACGGGGGTGTGTTAGTATTATTAGTGAAAGCTAAGATTACTGATTTCCTAAAACCCCACACCCCTTGCTCGGTTACAGGAGTCGTTGCCAGCCACTACAAGGGGCAGGATTAGTTCGAAAATGAAGACAATGCCTTTTACTAACATCTGAGTGGAGTCTCAACCACAGATATGGGGAATAAGAGATTAATAAAAAAGAAACTATCCAAAGACGTGTGCTTATTTTCCGTCATTTTGACTTGTAGCGATGCCACCGCGATGTTCTTCCTGGCGCACTGCTTCTGTAAAACAAACTAGAGTTCTTTATTCTTACGCCGGCTCGTCTTTCCTGCTGAAACCAGTTCCGCTGGTCACCCTGGTACGAGTTCCATTTAAGAGACCACTTCTGGAGTAAACTCCTGAGACCTTACCTGTAGCTGCCGGCATTCCTTGAGTGATCTAGCCTGCGAGTCATAACAAGTCGTAATACTTGTACGAGTAACAGGCGTAACAAGCACGTGTTTTCTCAGTTGCAACAAAGCAAACAATAGTTTCAGAATACTTTTCCCGAACAAAGCAAGATAATTTCTAGGGTTACACATTCAGTAGTTGAATGGCTACTTCCGGTCGACCTTATTCTGACAGAGCATTGCTTATAATTTAGATCTTGAAACGGAGCTTCTGCGCTATTTGGCAAATTTTATATGTTTCTAGGCATCATTACCTTACGCGCAACGAACTCGCATGCCTCAAACAAAGACTGTATGCAGTGTTCTCTTCAATGGATCAGTGCGAAGGTGCTACCTTTTGTTTCACCTACTAAGTGGAATAGCTTTGCTGCCTGCAACAGCGAAACTAATTGGGGATAGCGAAAACAAAACAAAACGAATACTGTTTCGGCACCACAGAAGTTACGTCAGCCGACTGTTCCCAAAGGGATCATGTTTTAAGAATGACATTTTTTTCAGAAATAATCAAGTCCGTTTATCTACAAAGTGTATTCTATGAAATAGAAAAGAAGATCCACTTCCTTTGTTAGTGAGCCACGCACGAAAAATAATCTTTTTTCAAAACTTCATAGCATAAAATATACTAACCATACTCTCCACTTTCCAAACTCACACCACTCAGGTTCAACGTTGGAGGCGTTACGTCTTTCCTCGGTGTGAATGCTGGAAAGAAGTGAATGGTCTGGCTACAGAAATAAATTATAACTATGTATCTTTCTTTACACATCTCTTAGCATTTTAGAAATATTCATATCTTCTCAGTGAGTCAGGACTTAACTGGAACGTCAAATGTTTTACAAAAAGAACTTTTCGGTCATTGCTTCTGTGAAGAAACCGCATGGCCGGTAATTTACTAAATATATTCATTTTTAACAAAACGTAAAATACACACTAGCCCCTAGGTACACGTGGTTGAGGTTAATGTAAAAGCATGTCTCGGTTCTGTCACCCAATACTTCTTGAATATTTTCGGACTCAGGAAAATCTAGGAGTGCCATCAACGAGGCCACAGTCTAAAGAGGTACATTGCTGCAGTTAAAGAGTCCTGAAAACTGTAGGTATGCACTTGCTGCGTGCCAATAATGCCTAAATTAATGGAGATGGACGCGTCATTCGATGAATAAACTTCTGTTATTCAGTGGAGAGCGCTGAACTCGCACAACGAAAGGGACACAAAAGTGACTCTTTCAAAATCGACTCACGCTATGCTCACTAAGAAGATCATTATTAAATTTTCTGGTGTTGTTTTTTCCGAAAAGCTTTAGCATACTCGTTTTCTATTTGTACAATATAACGACTGTATGATGAAAAGAATGTGACGAATTGTATTATTTTTGCTTTTTCTCAAACATGTCTCAAATGTTAGGTTATACAATTTATTTGGCGGTATTGAATAGCAACCGTAGGCGATCCCAAAGATATCATTCCGGCTTGTACACATTTTACCACACATGTCTCTTACCATCAACTGCAACGAATCGCGTTTTCATTTAACACAACAAGTTGATTCAATGAAGATTACCTTATATTCTGCATCATATTTGCAATACAATCTTTGTTCATAAAGCGAACGATTGTAATGCCACGACTTTTCAGCCAACCATCTTCGATGTTTCTTCTATAGTACTACCTTAAAATCTAGATTCCATAATAACAATCTGTTTATTTTGACTATAAAGTCAAGTTACTAATAACTTAAAAATAAACAATAATTTAAGCAGTGGATACTCAATACACCCAAAAGAATCTGACTTATGCGAATGCGGCTCCCATGACTAGGGTCCTAACCATATACAAAGAAAAGCACTACAGATGTATGTACAAACAGTAAAATTAGTTTGATAACAAATAATTATGCGGTAAGATTGCTAAGGTGGAGGTTTCGTCAGTAGCTTTTCTATTGATCACGCAATAACTTGCAGCGCAATTTTCGCGTGAAGGCGGCAAACTACATGTTTTGAAGTTGAAAATATGATCAGCCACCATCAATAAGCTTTTTTACAGCTTAGAAATTACAGAATACCTTCCGCGAATGCACGCGCTCGCTTCCGTTGTTGACCATGCGATTGAGAGGCAAGATAATAACCTGGCTGCAACGTTGATCCATGGTAGTTGTTCTAATTTGGCTCTGTAGGTGCTGAAGCCAAGCATAACTATAGTGAAAGAGATCCTCATTTATTCTTAGCGTGGAGAAACGACAAGGTGTTGTCAATGTGGTGGTCTTGCTCTTGATTGCTATATGAAATTTGGTTCAAATCTCACATCTGGAGGCACATTAAAGGGCTCAAAATCATTTTATTTATCCGTATTGATGCTGCCCCCCCCCCGTCACACTGACAATGACGGCACACATCGAATTCCCCCTAGTGGAGACGTTCGTTTTTATAGGTGCACTATAAGAGGCATGATCGTAAGCTTGCAAATCACTCGCATTGTTAGCATCGTCCTGGTTGAGGCAGCAAATAATATATCCTTTTAGCTACACATAAGCAGAATTTCATGTGCCCATAGTTGAGCCACGAAACGACGTCGTCTTGCGGTTCCTATACAATTTACGCTGGTGTAATATTGTGACAAATGTAAAATGCATATGTGACACGAAAAATATTTTATGGTGCAAGAATCTCTTATCACCATAGAGCTCCAATAAATAACTAATGTCATTCGAAAGCGAGAGAGCGTTCAATATAAGGTGAAGTATATTATAGCGATATAAATGTTTACACTCGTAGAACAAAAGTCATTTGACTGATTTCAGGTAGCCCTAGCTTACCACGTAAATAAGTATCTTTAAAAAGGACCAGTAAACTAGTTTTCAAAAAGAAAAGTACTTTCCCAACTTTAAAACAGAGTATAATGATCTGAAAAGTAAGTTCACGTGTTAAGTTAAAATAGATTTTTTTTTCCAGCAGCAAGTCCAGACTCGTAAAAGTAATCAAAGGTCTTTTTGTTTACTATGAAATTTTAGATAGGCGCAACAAATTAGGTTCAGCCTATTGCGCTGCTTAATGTTCTTACTATGGTATCCCAGGCATGCAGATTTGTGTTCGCTAAGAGTTTTAACGGAATAAATGGTGAAAGTTTGTTCCTGACTTGATATTAAGAAAAAAACATACCATCCAGTGCCGGATTATCAATATCTTGGTAGCTGTAATAATATGAATCAGTGCTTTCTTCTTCGTTAGAAATATCACCCGATATTGTTACAGCAGCTGCAAATAAAAGGTTCCTACGTTCAGGATATAGACTGTTTTAAGCACGAAACCACATAAACCAAGTTTCACCGATGTTACTTAAGTATATACCTCGAATTTCGGTACACATACAACCGCGAAAAAGACAGCAGATTTCTGGTATCATAGAAACAGATGTTATGCGAAGCATGCGGTGAAAAGGTGACAGCCGTGTTATTATTTTATGAAGTAGAATGTTTCAAACTGACGTTGAAGAGATGTAAAAGAGTTGTGCACACAGGTACATTTTGACCAGTGCCATAAGTTTATTATAGGCTGTTTCAGGATGCGTGATTGTGCCAACAGTAACATCGGTATTAGGAACAACTGAAGTGATAAGCTACTCTAACTTAAGATATGTACTTGTAAACTGAAGGCATCATGCCGGATAATTGCAATATGTTTACGTAAGTGCTCTACACTTATGTTTATAAAAGTAGACATCCAGCGCTGAAACCTAAATTGATGCTTCACTGTCATTACGCCCACAGAGTCATTTTACAAAGCAGTTGCGAGACCGAGAGATGACTGTGAATAAGCATGCGATGAGTTCCCCTGCAGAGAAGGAGGAGGGGGGTCAACAAAGGTTCGTCGCAGCGCCCCCTTCCCGATCATGTGTATGGGTGGGGCTGACTTTGTGCCCCATGTCACCCCTCTCTCTATATTGCCAATGTATAAGGCTAGCTTTACGCTCAAAATGCCTGCAGTGCGCGAAGAAATCCTTTGCATTTGAAAATGAAGTGTTTAAGGAAACAATATATAAGAAATTTGTAAGACACAGGCAGTTACAAATAACTGAAATTGGGCTCCTTGGTTTAGTGCTAAACATAGAGGCCATTTTAACATAATAATCTAAAAACCTTGTGACACTTAGCACAAACTGTTTTATTGGATTGCATTATAGGAAAGAATTGTGCAATAAAAACGAAAATTAACAGTTCATTATTTAGGAAGGAATAACGAACGTTCCGGCAATTTTCTCACTTTGTTTATTTCACTATAAGACATAGGCAGTTGGCTTGTAAGGCCGTTTGGCCCTGAGGGCATTGCAAATAAAAAAAAGGCAGGGCAAAAGAAATAGATTGATATGTGGGGTACAATCATACTCGCACATGATTTGTGTGTCCTGTTGTCACAAAACGAGTGCTCAAAAAAGGGCGCGCTGCCAAATTCTCGCGACGAAATGCCGGAGTGACGCCGCGAGGTAGACGATAAAAAAAGAAAAAAAAGAAAACAAGCATCCAAAGACTCCCCGGGCACGCGTCCCTCTCCCCTCTGAAGTGTAGCTTCGCCGACAATTCTCCTCACCACACATCGGCGGCCGAGCAAGCCCTCAAAATTTCTCGAAGGAAAGGAGCGTGGAGATGCCGGGTTGAGTCATCCGTCGCGGATGGCCTTCGAACCGTCTCGCCCTCTCCCCCAGCCTTCGCTGCGCATCGCGCCAGCAAAATGATGAGAACTTTCTGGAATCTCGCGCGGAAGGTATTTAATCGAGCAGCCGAGATGAAAGATCAGAAGAAGACAGAAGTTAGCGCCAGAGTGCGTAGGGTATTCCGCCGTGTGGTCGGCGAAGGTTTTGTCCGTAGAGACAAAGCAGGAAAAGAAGATTTCCACCTGAGGGGTGACGACTCGAGCTACAGGCAAGAGTGTGTGTTTACCGCTATCGAGCGAAGACGCGTGGCAACAGCTGCGTATGTGAAGCCGACGTGTTTCCGGCAAAGAAGTTTGTAGCTTGGAGAGTGGCCACTTGAAGACGCGAGGTTTCCTGGAAGAGAAACTTCGGGAGCACTTGAAGACGCGAAGTTTCCTGGAAGAGAAACCTCGGGAGCAGCAGAACGACAGAGGTTTCCTGGAAGAGAAACTTCGGGAGCACTTGAAGACGCGAGGTTTTCTGGAAGAGAAACTTCAGGAAGGAGCACTTGAAGAGGCGAGGTTTCCTGGAAGAGAAACTTCGGGAGCAGCAGAACGACAGAGGTTTCCTGGAAGCCAACCTTCGGGAGCACTTGAAGACGCGAGGTTTCCTGGAAGAGAAACTTCGGGAGCAGCAGAACGACAGAGGTTTCCTAGAAGAGAAACTTCGGGGGCAGCGGAACGACAACAACGCTGGCCTTTGAGTGAGTGATTCTCGGAAAAGTATCATCCAGACTTTTGTTCCAAGAACTTTGGACTGGATAGGTTTTCTATCTCTTTAGTCTTCAAGTGTCTTGGTTGTTCAATGCATGCGACTGCATTGTAGTGCGTATCGTTGTCTGTGTCCGTTGTTTCGAGTGTGGCTGATTGTACTGTGTAGTACGTTGTTTGATTGGTGACATTTTGTACTCAACTATTGTGGAGTGTGCATACTTGTGTATTGTTTTTGATCTGCCATTATTGAGAATATAATTTTGTTTGTTTATCAACTCTCGGCTCTGACTTGTTCTTTGGGCCACAGCCGGCGTCCGCTGGCGCGCCAAAAAGGACCACTTCTAAATTGTCCACGCTTTCGTGGTGCGGTTCGGGGGGCCTATACTTCGGACCTTGGAATTAGCCCGACAATCGCCTCCCGAATTAACGGGACCTGTGACACCTGTGAGCTCCGAACGCATCGATTGGTGAATTTTCAAACCTAGCTATTTGCAAGCCAAAAAACCAGTTGTTTCTAGAGGTTAACATGTCAAAGAATCGAGTACCCTCTGTTTTTATCATGAGAGCTTTTTTTCGAACCACGTAGTTTTTAATTGGCCTGCGGCAAAACGAACAAGAACTACTGAGTTGATATCATCGTTTGCAACAAGATAACTGATGAGTTCTGTAAATACCTTTTTCACAAAAAATGGTCCGTCAAGCTCCATTGCAATCATTTTTTTATTTCTATTCGCATATTGCCGCCTCTTAGCTGAACCGAAAAAAAATTGAATTTGTATACCCTGTCGGCACCTGTACTGTTCGAGAGTGTTCTCTTCTTCTTTCAAGTTCGAAAGTATTTCCACGTCTTGTGAATGTTCAGCAGCCTTTATTTGGTGGTGTAATTGACACATACCTTGACCCGGTTGATAAAGCATGCTTAATAAAATGTAGAAAACGTATGCTTAGCATACCTTTCAAATATCTGTTCAGTTTTTTGCAGACCAAATGCTAATGTTACTTTGCCGCTAGTGAAACTGCATTCCTAACAGCGTTTTGTTTGTTTGAGCAAGATTGGTTTGAGGGATCGCAGATTGGACCTCTGCATAAGTATTAAATTGAGCAAGCTTAACACGACTTCAAAATGTATTTTCCAAAACCACAACGCTTTGCACTTCGCAATATATTAAAGCCAGTAGAGCGGCATACATGTGTACTGATGTAGATGTGTTCATTGGCGTATATCGACATTTTTGGTCTCCACGCATATATATATATATATATATATATATATATATATATATATATATATATATATATATATATATATATATATATATATTATATATATATATATATATATATGCGTGGAGGCACAATGCTCTAACCAATCACACAATGCTCTAACCGCTGAGCTGTGATAGCTCAGCGGTTAGAGCATCGAACGTGTTATTCGAAGGTCGTACGTTGGATTACTGCTCACGGCTGGTTATTTTTTCACCCACTTTACCTTCGTCTTATTTACATTATATTGGTTCTAATAACTTCCCCTATACATTCTTTGGCATTACTGTCTGTTATATCTCATTATCATTGTGTCAAAACACGGAAAAACGAGCCCTTGGGTATACACTTCTTTCCCTTATTCAATAACGAGGGTCTCGTACTGGCAAACTTGGTGTCATTAGGTTGTATACGTGAAACTATTGATCGCCTGCCCGCTCGTAATAAGTTCACGTGCTACGTGATGCCACACATGCGCATAAAAGAGTGTTTCACACTCGCCGCTTCGCTTATAGATGGCACTGACTGCCAATCCTACTTCTAAATTCACATATAAACCCCCCAAAAAAGGGGGATGGAGGGAAGGCCGCTGTAATAAATCAGCGGTTAGAGTATCGAACGCGTTATTCGAAGGTCGTAGGCTCAATTCCTGCTCACGGCTGGTTCATTCTTCACCAACTTTTCTTTCTTCTTATTTACATTTCATTGGTTCTAATAACTTCCTCTATACATTCGTTGGCATTACTGTCTGTTAGATAGCATTATTATGGTGTCAAAACACGAAAAAACGAGCCCTTAGGTATACACTTCTTTCCCTTATTCATTAACGAGGGTCTCGTACTGGCAGACTTGGTGTCATTAGGTTGTATACGTGAGACTATTGATCAGCTGCCCGCTCGTAATAAGTTCACGTGCTACGTGATGCCACACATGTGCATAAAAGAGTGTTTCACACTCGTCGCTTGGCTTATAGATGGCGCTCACTGACATTCCTACTTCCAAATTTACATATAACCCCCCCCCCCAAAATAGTGGATCGAGGGAAGGCCGCTGTGATAGCTCAGTGGTTAGAGCATCGAACGCGTTATTCGAAGGCCATAGGTTCGATTCCTGCTCATAACTGGTTATTTTTTCACCCACTTTTCTTTCTTCTTATTTACATTCCATTGGCTCTAATAACTTCCCCTACACATTCCTTGGCTTTACTGTTTGTTAGATCTCATATATTATGGTGTCAAAACACAGAAAAATGAGCCCTTAGGTATACACTTCTTTCCCTTATTCCTTAACGAAGGTCTCGTACTGGGAGACTTGGTGTCATTAGGTTGTATACGAAGGCCTATTGATCAGCTGCCCGCTCGTAATAAGTTCACGTGCTACGTGATGCCACACATGCGCATAAAAGAGTGTTTCACACTCGTCGCTTGGCGCATAGATGGCGCTGACTGACACTCCTACTTCTAAATTCACATATAAACCCAAAAAAAGTGGATGGAGGGAAGGCCGCTGTGATAGCTCAGCGGTTAGAGCATCGAAAGCGTTATTCGAAAGTTGTAGGTTCGATTCCTGCTCACGGCTGGTTGTTTTTTCAC